CATGTTTTATTTTCAAATAATTTTAAATATTTTTTTATAATTATAATTTTTTAATTAATTAAGGACATAAATTAAAAATTAACCATATAAAATAACTTTCAGGTAGACTTAAGTAAAAATTGGGGACTTTGAATTATCTTTCAAAATTTAATAATCAATAGTTAAAATAAATATATGTAACTCTTAAAAATAATAATTATTAAAAGTATTTAACTTCACATTATACATCACTATGAATCTTTTTTTTTTTAATAGTTCTTTTCAATTGTATGTGACATGAATAGTAATTCACAATACAAATACGGATAAAAATAATTTATAAGTTATTTTCTTAACAAATCTTGAATTTTTAATATTATTAGTGTATGTCCAAAAGAGTAAATTAACAACACAGTATGACAATAACCAAAAAATAACTTTAAAAAAATTAACTAAGGCTTCAATAATTTGATGAATTTAGATGCAATTTAAGTATTTTTGGGTCTTAAAAGTTCAATTTTTTTTATTGGCTTGTTTTAAAGTCTTTTTAGAGTTTTATTAGTCAACATAAAGTATCAATATAATAGTATATTGTTTAAGAGTGATTTAACTTGTTTTATGTTTTTTTTAATAATAAATGAATATATCCTTGTATAATATTTAAAATCTTTCATCTCTCCTTTTATTTTGAAGAAGGAATAAAACACTTGCTCTCATGACGAGAATAAAATTTGAAGATAATGAAAATCTTATGTATATAACAATTTTTACTGAAAAATAGAAGAACCAAAGGAATAAATTACTTTTGCTTGTCATAAGCTAAAACTTTGTCAAAAGTTATGATTCTCATGAGAACAAATTACTTCCTCTCTTTGCAATCAACAAATTCATGTAAAATTTATAGCATTAAGGCAAGTAGGTGCCCAAAAATGGAACAAAAATCGATAATCTTGTAAAACTTCATTCTTTTTTTGAAAGTGGTTGAGCTCAAGAGTACAATTAAAAGCCCAAAATAGGACCTCTTATGGGCCTAAGCAATGTCTTCAGTTACTTACCTTAATGCTATAAATTTTTATTGGTGACTTTGTAATTTAGTCATTTTTCATTGAAACCTTTCATCTCACACCTTATATCCTTTTCTGTTTACATGAATCTGACCTAAGTTTAATTTATTTGTGCAATCCCCTCAAGCTTAAGTATCAAGTTTTAACTTTGTAAAAGATAATATAATGAATCCAAACCCTCCTTCCCCCCTTTCCTTGTGCTGAAATCACATGCATGATAAGCTTTCAAGTCAAGGAAGAAAATTGGATTAAAACTTTAATGACTTCAGTGATCATAAACATACATGTATTGCATAGAAAATTTATCCTTTTGCACATATAATCACGTAAAGATATCATATAATCATGTAAAAATGTTTCTTCATTGACAACAATTTTATTATCAAATCATTAAATGCACACCAAAAAAAAGAATAGTTATAACATGTACATTTGACAACGCAGTTTACTAAGTAATTACTTATACATGCAATGCTCATTTATGCCAAGATGAGACATAAGAATGGCCACAAAAGTGAGTATAGTAATTTATTAAAGATTAAAAAAAATTAGTTTTTTTTTTTTAATTTTGGTCCTTAATTGAAGTGTTTTAAGAAAATTTAGGGGCTTGAATTTTCCTTGGAATAGGCCTAGGATAAGGGCCAAATTGATTGAAATGGTGAAGTTATGAACTGAAATTGGAGGGCTCGATTGCAAATATTTAAAGTTTAGGGACTAAAGTATAAATTGTTACACTTTGGGGGACTTAATAAATTGATTTTGAGATAATAATTCCCGTATGATAATTCTGGAAAAGTTGGGAGAAAAAGAGAAGAACAAAGTTGGTGAAGAGAGAAGAAGAGAGGAAGAGGAAAAAAAAAAAAAAGGAAAAAGAGGAATAAAAGAGGAAAAATCAAGAAAAATCTAGAGCAACCATTAATGCAAGAAGTTGAGATTAATCCAACACTTGGCTTTATCCAAGTGAATTCTTCTCCTATAAATTCAGCTTGGACGAGGAGGAAGACAAGGTTGAAAAATTGGAGGAAACAAAGCCACACCAAAGAGAGAGGAATTCAACCAAGAGAGAAACCACCAAACCATCTTAGGCAGCCTTAAAACACCCCAAAATCACCCTAAAATTAGTTTGGGAGAATAGGCAAAGGAAGTGGAAAAAGTTCCACATTGACCGAAACTTCAAGAAGAAAAGAGGAGGAAGAAACCAAGGAAGAAAAGAAGAAGATTGGCCAAACTTCAAGTGAGTTAAGTGTAATTGTCACTACATCATAAGAAAGTAGTGTTTTTGATATATAGTTGATGATAAATTGAAGTTATCTTGCTTGAGTTTTAATGGTCTAAGATTTGGTGAAACTATGATGTTTGATTTTGATGGTTGCATTAATGAATATGTAATTGTGTGGTTTGAATTATGATGATTTGATGTTTAATTGAATTAAATAATTGAATTTTGAGGTTGTCGAACAAGGTGGTTGGGTATTCTTAAGCTTGAATAAATTAGAGGTTTTAAAATCTAATGTTTGCAAGATGTTTGATGTAATACTTTAAAGATATTTGATGAAATTCTTTAAAAGATATTTATGGTGTTAAATTGAAAACATTGAAACTTGATCACTTTATGATGAATTTTGACCAAGTAAGAAGATTTAGATTGAATGAAAACTTAACCTATTTGATGTTAAAATAATGAGGAACATGTTAGTTTAAGAGTTTAAAGGTGAAGGTAAAAAGAAGAAATAGAACTTGTCCTTCTATTGGCCAATTTCAACTAAGAATGAAAAGTCAAGAGTAAAAGAGGTTTATTTGACGTTAATATAATTTTAAGGTTTAAAGGTATAAGCTGGCATGAAAAGTGTTTGTAATCGTGTGAAAAATGGATGGATTACGTTGCTTAAATATTCAACCAAAATATTTATTTAAGGCATGAATTTTGTTTATTGTTTGTTTATGTTTGCATACTACTTGTTTTATATGGAACATGTATTTGATGTATGATTATGTTAAATGTTCTCGAGGATTTGAAAAAAATTATACCAAAGTTTTAATTAATATGGACCTATTATTTTATATTTATTAGGAACCATATATGAGAATTGCTCACTTTGCTAATAAATTAAAAATGTTAAAGGAAGAGGCATGTTGACTTGCATTCATTGCACTCTAAATGTAAGTCAATGTTGATAATATCCTCAACTTAACTAAGTCCTAAGTTAGGGGTGTTACACAAGCCATTGGAATTCATTTGGTGTTAGTAGCATGCAGCTTAATCTAATCGCAATTCAAAAAGACAGGGAAGAAAAACACAATTGCGGACCTAACCACATTCCAAAAGTCTTTTACTCAATTCAACCCAACTTAGCTTGATTAAGTCTCAATCTCAATTATTTAAGAGTCAATTAGTATTCACCCAAGTTCAATTTAGTTAAAATGACTGGGTGGATGGAATTAATAGATGCCCTAATAATTATTTTAGAAGTAAATTCACCTCTCATCTTTCATTTAAAAAAAAAAAAATTAAGTAACAATCAATTGACAATTGACCATTACAAATAATGAAGATTAAATAATTTAGATCATATTTATTCAATCCTCAATATTTTTGGATTTAAATTATACAATTTAATATTTTGGGTCTAAAATTATCAAATTGCTATATTTTAAAGGCAAAATATACCATAAAACCTATGTTTTTACACCTGGTACCACAAAATTGTGCTTCATATGCATGCTAATAATGTTGCAAGAATATGAATTGGTATATGTACTTTACTTTTTATCATCAATATCAATGGTTGTTCTCTAGAAAGAATACTAAATTTGCTCTCACCACAAGCTAATGAAAACACCTATGTATATAACCAAAAAAAAAAAAAAACCTTAAATAGAAGAACCAAAGGAATAAATTACTCTCACTTATCTCAAGCTAAACCTTTGTCAAAAGTTATGATTCTCATGAGCATAAATTACTTCCTCTCTCCACAAGCAACAAATTCATGTAAAATTTATAACTTAATGCAAGTAGGTGGCCAAAAATTGGGAACAGAAATCAACAATCTTGTAAAACGTCATTCCTCTTCTTTGTTTTCTTTTCTTTTCTTTTTTTTTTATAATTTCTCAAAATAAGAGCTGTTGGGCCTAAACAAATAATAAACTGCACTTATCCAAGATCTCAATTAGTGATGTGGTTGTAATTGCAGAGACTTTAAAAATGGTTTTTAAAATGATTTTTTCCCTAATTGACATCAAATTAATGCCTTTTTAATTAATTTTGGATGAATTTAATATAAAGATGTTAAAACCATTAAAACACGCTTAGCATTCCATGTTTTTTTTTTTTTTCTATTGGATATATTAATAACTGGCGATATCTAGTTGACCATGTGTGTTGAAGTAACAATTTTGACAATTTTACAAGCCTTTGGCAGAGATTTACCATACCAACTTGCAAAGTGGTAAGCAATGTCTTCTGCGGTTACTTACCCTCTCTATTGTTTGTTCTCTTCTTCCTAGTAGTGACTTTGTACTTTACCCATTTTTCTTTGAGAATTTTCATGAAATTTGCCCCTTATATTCTTTTCCATTTATATGAATCTGACCTAAGTTTAATTTATATGTGCAATCTTCTGAAGCTTAATTATCAGTTTTCACTTTGTATAGAAGATAATATAATGAATTCAAACCGAAGAGATTGCTGAAATGAGATGCATGATAGGCTTTCAAGACAGGAAGAAACTTGGATTAAAACATCGGTGACTTCAATGATCATAAACATGCAGGTATTGTACAGAAAACTTATCCTTTTGTACATATAATCACGTAAAGATTCCATATAATCATGTAAAAATGTTTCTTCGCTTACAACAATTTTATTATCAAATCATCAAATGCACACTAAAGGGAAAAAAAAGAAAAGAAAAGGAGAATAGCTATAACATGTACGTGCATGTGACAACGCAGTTTACTCTAAGTGAACTTATACATGCACTGCTCATTTATGCCAAGATGAGACATAAGAATGGCCACAAAAGTGAGTAGCTCTCCACCTCGTGTAAGTGCTTTTGTATGCTCCTTCCATCCACAATGAACCGCAGCAAAAGTTAGCATCTCCACCCACACTTGAGTTATCATCTCCCATTTCTCTCCATCTGTCCAACCATCCTCAGTCTCCAGCAAATCCAATGCACTGGCGAGCTTGCGACCATCAGATAGCACTGACCCTTCGAATTGTCCCTCTTCAGTTCCCATTAAACTCGCTTCTGTGCTGGTTGACTTGTACTTTGCTTCACCAATCTCTTTGGGTAGCATAAACGGCAAATCACTCCGAAGATACAGCATGTAATTGGCTAAAGATATGCTTGCTAGAACTTCAGAAGATTCAGCATGACCTTTGTGACAAAAACAAGTCGCAACGTGCCATAATAGGAAGCTTTCATGAAAGTCTATTTCGACCACAGACCAGTCAAATTTGTCGAGGCATCCCTTACTTCTGAGCACCTGATCACCTCTCTCTGCCAATATCTTCTTTTGATCATCTTGCGGACTGTATCTTATACGCTTATTTAAGAGATGATCGAAGATCAATTGCTTCAATTCAATATCCACCTCCACTTTCCATCTCCTAAAGTGGTGTTCAGTGGAGAAAAAATCTGCCATAGGCATACTTGGCGTCATTTGCTTATGTATGGCATGTTGGTCTATAGATTCTTTCCACCTTTTTTTATGAATAAGAAGAGACGATAGCAATCGAGAAGAACAAATATATCGATAAACCGAATCCGCCAACGGCTTCCGCTGCTTGCTAAGCCAAAGCATAGCCCAATCAGAGAACAGCATCCAAACGACTGAGTAAATCTCTAGAACAATAGCTCCGCCCAGCAACAAGTATGATATAGTAGTATCACTTCTGGAGTAGGCACTGCGGTTTCTGGCCATTATCCAGAACGTAAGTAATGCAGAGACAGAGAAGAGAAAGTTGATACCTCGGAGAGTGAAGCGAGCCTGCCAGAAAACCCCTGTCATCATCTTGGTGAAAAGTACATCATACATGTAACCCAACTCAACTGCTATCAATTTGAATGCTTCGGTGGCATTCTTGGTCTTCAAGATATGATAGCTGATCATATGAGTTGGGAATGTAACAAGGTAATCTCCATATAGTAACTTCAAAGTTCGGAATAAGAAATGAGCTTCTTGGAGATGTTTTGCCTCTCGTGTTACGTTATTCAATCCCAAAACTTGGTCTCGACGGCTTGTAATTTCCATGTTATTCAACTCACTGCTTGCAATTCGCTGATCTATTTGCTCTCGTAGAAGCTTTCTTTCTTTGTTTGCGGAGTTTCTGAAGTTGTTGGAGCTTGCCAACCAAAGAATCCAAACCCTCTCTCCATATTTGATGATTCCAGAAACAATGATGGGAATGGCTACATATACGAGCGGATCATTGCCCAACCATGACCTCAACGATGTATAAAAGGACAACGCAAGTTGTGTTAGAAGCTGAAGCACATGCCTCGACCACAATTCGTTGTCCTCTACTGCATAGGCAGTAATGGTGTCTGGGCCACCAAGGTGTACGAGGAGTATTGGTGCCCAAAATGCTGGGATGGTTGCATTTGTATCGGTACCATTTGAACTCCCTTGGTTACGAGAAAGGGTACCTAATGAAATGGTTGCCAACCAGTCCGCTGATGAATATGCTAGCCAAACCACCACCCCGAGCCAGATTCCAGCTGTATTCTTTCGTCGACTGCCGGTGACAGTGAGGAAAATTTGCAGCCAGAGACTTAGCAAAATCATTGCCCGAAGCTGCCAATCGTTCCAAAATGCGATAACACGTCCAGATACGCTATCCGTATCCATGTTTGCTCTCCTTCAGTACAAGTCAGACATGATCTTTACTTTAACAGTTATTAGTCAATTAAACAAAATACTATCTAATGATCACACTATGCATGAACAGTATTTCAAATTATGCATTTACAACCTATTTCGTAGTAATTCACATAAATCATATCGAATAAGAGCTCCCTTTATTCTGTTCAGAAAAATGTGTCATTAGGATGCATTGAATAAAATATACAGTAATGTCCATTCAATGCTTATTTCAACTTGAGACCAGAAAATCAAACAACACTCTTTAAAATAAGTGTCCAATAAATAAGAATAATATAAAGACAAGATAATAACAACATCCTGCCTAAAGTTACAGCTTAGTGGTATCACACTTGAGTGGTTTGGCCTAACATTGCAGTCTAATAGTCGACTAAGGATTATGACATTGGTCTAGCCCGGAAAGTAATGGACTAGGTGTGATGACCCGAAGGATTTCATAGATAACCCACTCTCTAAACCAAAAATTAAAGAAAATTAACAATGCCATGCCTCCCCTAAGGTACGTATGGAAAAGCTCCAACTAAGAACACTTGGGTAAAAATGCAAGTAAACAAAGATGAACAAATTAAAGCAATATCACAGCATAAGAACAAAGATGAAAAAAAAAAAAAAAAAAAAAAAAAACGAAAGACAAATTAAGAGAAAGTATTGAATTGATTTATAGTGAGGAAGGACTTAAATTCTTCTTCATAATCATGCTTTAAAGTATTTAATATAAAATGATCACTAAGAAATGGTTTTTATGTATAAGCTGAGGGGATGACGCTTACAAATAGTTTTTCATGTACATTATAATTTCTAACACTTGCAAGATCTATTTTTACTACAGATTTTATTTCAACCATACGTATCAGCAATGAACTTTCAAATATAATACTACGTAAAGAAGGAAAAAAAGAACTTTCAAATTTAAGTGCAGAGACTCAGAGAGAAATGAAGCAACGAACGGCTGACACATGCAGCTCAAACCTTTACAGCTAAAACATACCTGATGAAGATTGTGCAGAGAGCAGTTTAGGTAGACAAATTTTGTAACCAGTTTGAATTTTGAGTATGTAGTCCTGGTGCCAAGTGGAGCTTCATGCAACTTTACTTCTTATTATGGAAACAAAGGTTATTCTTGAGAAAGAATAAAACAATTGCCCTGAGCACAAGCTACGTAAACCTTTAAAATATAATGAACTTGCAGGTATATGAGAATGTTCATTGCTGCAAAATAAAAAAGATAAATGGAATATATTACTTTCGCTTGCACAAGCTTAAACTTTATCTTTAGTTTATGATTATCATGAGCACACATTACTTCCTCTCCTCCCAAGCGACAACGACATGTAAAATTATTTATAGCTAGCTAAAGTAAGAAGGTAAGAGTGACCGGAGATAAGTAATATTCTTGTATAACTTTATTCCTTTTATTTTTCTTTTCTTTCTTTTTTTTTTTTCAATCAAGAAAAAAAAATTCATTGGATATGGGGTGAACCCAACAGTGAAACCCCAAAATAAAAGCCCTTTGAAGGCCTATGCAAACAAAATACTGAACCTACCGATGGGCAATGGTGGATCTTTAACCAAAATTTTTAGGAACGCAAGAACAATAATTTGGTATTATTATCGTATTATTCATAGATACAATATTCTATTTACAAATTGATTATTTTTATTTAAATCATCTTATATATTGATTTGTCTAATAATTTAAGTGAATTTACTGTTAGAGAGTTAATATAAAATTATTTTAAAACATCACATAACACATTAAACTTTTGGATAAAGATTATTCTTTGTCATGTTATTAAAATCTTGATAACCAAATAGTGTTAAGCTATGAAAATTGATGTGGATGTGCCCTATAATTTAGAATGTTATACATACGACAACGGTCTCACTAGCCGATTAGCGAGTAGGCGTCAAAAGGTAACGCCCCTTGTAGGGGCTTGGGGGTAGAGTCTTCGAAAGATCTAAAGGATATTGAGCCGGATGTATAAGTCCTTAAGGTATTTTTTTTTATTATAATCCTAGTTGTTCACATTAAAAATATGGACAAAATCAATTGATAAAATCCTAATAAGAAAATCCTATTGCAATCATGGTGTAAGCACAATTGTCGGACCACATAAATTTTAGTGTTATACGATTGTTCTTGTCTTTCTATTCTATTTTCTTGTTTGATTCTTTTCCTAACAAATAGTCACGAGTTCAAATCTCACTTGAATAAGATTATGGTAGGCTTGTACAAGTTTTAAACCTAAAAACTCTTCTCTTAAACGAGTCCGTTAGAGATTTAATATAAAATTATTATGAGATTTCACCAAACGAGTTTAAGCTTTTTTCTTGAAGTGATTATTTGACAATTAAATAAGAGAGTGGAATCTAGGTTTTATTCAAAATATTTAAATCTTGTGGTGGGTATTCCATTCCAACATATTTTATATTGTTGTATTTATTCAATGTAGAATATATTCACTAACACTCTTCCTCATTTGTAGTCTTTTTTACTAGGTCATTGGGCCTCTTCGTTCGAATATGTCATTGATTAACGAAGAAAGTGATAGAAATACTTGATTAACAATTTTAAAAAAATTGATGTACTCAAATGAAAAGAATATTAAAGTTCATGTACTTGATTGAGAAAAAAGATAAAATTATAATTTGGTCCTTTGAGGATACCGAGTAAATAAAAAATTGACAAAAGTACTTGATTGGTAATTTTAAAAAAGTTAATGTACTCAAATTGAAAAAAATTAAAGTTGCATGCATTCGATTGAAAAAAAAACTAATGTACTTATAGTATAATTATCCAACATGAAAACTAAAAAGGTTATGGATGAAGAAAGTAGGAGAGACAAGTCTTAAAGCAATTTTATGTTTAAACTCCCTTGTTCATCCTGATGGTAATGACAGAATTGTTGTCGATCAATAGCCACCAAAAGAGAAAAGAAAACCGAAAAGAATAGGCTATCGCTTGACCTTGTTTTACTTAGAGTTTAGAGTTTAGGAATTAATGGTTAAGACTCAAAATGTTTGCATTTTACTATGAAACTTTAGTGTTTGAGGTATAACAAAAGTACTTGATTTTTTTTTCATAATTTTGTTTTTCTAGGCAAGGGGATATGAGGCAATATGAATATAGTAATCTTGCGTTTTGTCTTATGAGGTCTATCACCTTTTCATTCTTGGATATATCAAATATTTGCAATGTTAGACTTGGTAGTGTTTTAGTTTCTTGTGCATCCCTCGTTGTTACATCTCTAGATTAAGGATTGATTGCATTGGAGAATTGATCGCAAATGTTATTATTACTACATGACGTCGAACTAGACTCTCGAAAAAAATCTAAGATTTAGAGATTTACATTGCATTTATGAGTTATTTTAGGGATGTGAGTTATTATTGAGTTTCGAGTCACCGCTTAGTATTAAAGAAACTAGGAACTTAAAAATAGCACTCGGTTATGTTTTGGGAAGATATCAATACCTAAACACGCTCTTACCTAAAAACGCTCTTGCCTAATAAAGGTATCACGTCTAATTTAGTCTTAAATTCAACTCCCGAAGTATTTTCTTTGTGCCACGTTATTTCTAATTTAAACTCTAATTTTTCAAGCCAAATTAAGTTTTTTTTATTTTTAGGCGTGGTATCATATTGAAACAATCGTTAAACCCCTTCGTTAAGAGACACATTAGTTCAAGCATTAGATTCACTTTGAGCCTTAACAAAGCCGATGTGTCAAAGAGCATTCGATTATTAAATATTGATGATATATTTTTTAATTAATAATAGTCCCTATCGGATAGAAGACTTTGTTAAGAAATTTATTATTACGTTTTTTGTTTTCTTAATTTGTTAATGACGGTTCCTATCGGATAGGAGACTTCGTTGGGAATTTTAATTGGCAATGACAATCCCCATTAGATAGAAAACTTCAATAAGGATTTTTACAATTTTGTAGTCAATGACAATCCCTATCGGATATGAGACTTTGTTAAGGATTTTTACAATTTTGTGGTCAACGACTATCTCTATCAAATAGGAGACTTCGTCAAGAATTTTTATTATTTTTTGGTCAACCACAGTCTTTATCGGATAGGAGACTTCGTTGAGAATTTTTACTATTTTTTGTTATTTTATTTATTATTATTATTATTTATTATATTTTGATAAAAAAAATTATCATCAATCCCTAAAAATTAGGAGACTTGACGATTCTTTTATCAAGTAATTATCTATAATTACTAAAATAAAATTCTAAAATTTAAAGTTAATTAAATAAATTTCAAAAAAAAATATCTAAAAATTAAATATAATTAATGCAAAAAATAAAAATACATGGAGAAACAAAAATATTAAGATTTAAGTTACTTAAAAAAACGAAACCAAAAAACATAAAAAAGATCTTATTAGGCCTTCAGCCCAATGTCCTATGCCTTATTCCCTTCTACCTATTTCTTTTTTTCTTTTTTTTTTTTGGACTAATTCTATTTCTCGATTTGTGGCATAGATCGATTCTTTTTTTCCTTTTTTTTTTTTTTTTTTTTTTTTTTTTTTTTTTATGGACAGAAACTGGACCAAAACTAGCTTCTACCTAGTTCCTTATTTATTTATTTATTTATTTTTAACTAAACTAAGGTTGTGTGTGGGTTGGGCTTAGCCTAACCTATTTCTTTTTAGTTTAAGAAAAAAAGACCTGTGTTAGCCCAACCCATTTGTTTTCTTTACTCGAGCCTGGACCAAATACACAAACAAGGCCCGATTATTTTTCTCTCTAGATTTAGATCAAACTGAATTTTGGACCCTTTCCCTCTCCTATTCTTCATCGTTCTTCACTTCCTCTCTCTACTATTCATCTTTTTCAAGAATCAAAAATTCATTGCAAATAAAAACAAAATCAACTAACATACCACATTCATACCCTTATCTCAATCGAAAACAAAATATAAAACTTAAACGGGTGAGAAAATGGGAATTTAAATTACCATTAAGAACACTAGAAACGAAAACTAAAAAAAGTAAATGGAAATGACCTGAATTGTTTAAGGTGATGATTATCGCTCTGAAATTAAACTTGAGATTGATTTCAGGCAAATTAGGGATTCTTAGTTGGTTTGGAATATTTGGATAGTGTTCAGAATCCAAGAATCAAAGTCCAACAGTCGAGTGAATGCTGAAACAAACCAAAAAACAGAGGAACACCAACCCAAAAAAACAAAGAATGGTGAATGGTTGCTCAGAAAAATTGCGAAAAAAATCGAGAAACTTCAAATTAAAACCAAAAAAATGTGAAAAACAAGCTGCACAATCCACGAAATTCTAATCTAAACCTAAAAATGGAAGAAAAACCCAATTTTAGAACCCCTCTCAGGAGAAGAACGACCGCCCAAAACTTAAGAACACGAAGAACACTGCCTATAATTTTTTAGAAAAAATGCAGCAACTGACCCCCTAAAAACCTTTCAATTTTCAATCTCTCTATTGATTTTTACTCTCTCTCTCTAACCCAGAATTCAAATCTTTTTTCTTCTCGCATTGTTCCTAGCCAAAACAAACCTTTTATAGGCAAGAATTTGCTCAAATCTCTCTCCCAAAATCAATCTATTCACACCTAGATTTCAACTGCTAAGGCTAAAATTTTGCCTTTGATCAACCAAAACAAAAGAATAGATTGCGTTGAGGCATGATCCTTGGCTGGTATCAATTCCAGCTAAGGATCACAATGAATGCAAACCAACCCAAAACTTAATTTGGGGAAGATTTGACTCCTGGAAAAAATTGAGAAATAATCCTAGGAGAGATTTCTGGGTTGGAGCAAATGACAAGTTGCCCGTTTGATTTTAGTCATGTTGTTCGCTCTAATATTCTAATTTGGTCCTTTAAACTTTCAATTGTTCACAATCGTTCCTTTTTATATAATTTCAATCCTTATAAAGTATAATTTTATCAATTAGATCCCTATAGAGTGTAATTTAGGTTCTGAATTTATCAATTAATTTGATTATACTCCTAATTATTTCAATTACACTTTCTTTTAATGCAATTGTGCCTTTGGATGTAATTCAAGAGATTTTTTTTATATTTTCTATATATTTCTTCTTCGTCTTTTGTATTTTAGTTCTTACTTCTTTCTCCTTTTTTCTTTAAAAAAAAAAAAATCCTAAAATAAAAATAAATCAAATAAAGATGGAATGAACTAAAATAAATAAATAAAAACACATAGCTAAAAATTAAAATTGTAAAATGGATGTCTTTTTTTTTTTTTTGGTTATGACAGTTATACAAATCAAAATCATGTGAGCATTGATTGCTGTGATTTTTCTGCAGAAATTTTGCATTCACGGGACTAAAATCCTGTTCAATCTTTGTTATTTTGAGTTATCTCAAACGTCACATGATTAGTCAGTCTGGCTTCAATCTTTATCTAAATTTGCTGGGGAAATTTCAAATGCCTAATATGCATATTTAGGAATTCTAGTGGAGCACTAAACTTATGTCGATTTATAATAAAGCGTTTCTAAAAAAATTATGTTCATATCTGGAAATCCTTGAAGAGCACACAAGCTTGGATTAGTTGCTTGAGCTTCAGCTACTTGCGGTTTAGATATTAGGCTTGCTTACTTTGATTACACTTATACGAACAGACATGTCGAAGGATACTATGTTTTAGGTTCTGTAACTTTCCTTCAGGTTCTGCTATCACTGCTTAACACAGCAGGAAGCTAGCTGACAGTTTGCACTGAATCTGCTAATGTGATCTACGGAGTACTGTCAATCAAAATCTAGAGGAAATGTCCAAAGCTGAATAAATTTTCTGGGGAACGAGAACAAATAAAGAGCCCCATGATTTCTATCATTCAGTAGTGCAACAGATTTTTATATATAACCCGTACAGCAAATGCCTCCATGGAAGTTATTCCAAGCAGATCACAAACAAGAGAGGGAAGAAAGTCACTTGCAGGGAAAGAAAAAGAAAAATGAAAAAACAACAGGCTATATAACAGGATACACATATCGGTCTCTTTCAAGTTAATAAGATTTTACAATTCCACTGCGGTTTCCTTCATTCTACTATGAGGGTTAGGCATTGGGAAGTCGAACTGACAATAAAATTAGCAAGAAAGCATACTACATCCAAGGTAATGGCAGCATAACTACAATGATAATCCCTGCCATCGACCTTTGTTACATGTTCATTCTGATCATAGTTGAGTAAATCACCATATCATCTAACCACGGTGATTAACAAAGGACACAAAAAAATAAACGAACGTGAAAAACAAAATAAGCTTCTTCACTATCTGTTCTACTATCAGAAGTGAGCAGATGGTCATTGTTCCATGCACCTACAAGAAATAAGAGGAAAAAAAAACCATCCGATGACTTGTTTGGTAATCCATCAGATCAAAAGATAGCAGGCACACATAAAAAGTCTTAAACTCAATGGATGACAGTGTGTCCAAAGACTTATAAATGAAGAGGAAGCATCACTACATGCAGGGAAGCAAGAGGGATTCAGGAACAACAGAGCTTCTAAATCTAAACTACTCGGATGAAGATTTATAGCTAAGGAGCAGGGTGATCGAATCACACCAACAACAAAACCAGAACAAAATCACTGAAGGGAAGAATGTCACAGTAAAAGAAGCCTGTATTTTGACTCCAAATGGGCTAATATAGTTTGGTACTGAACTTGACACAATATTCAAGTAGTCAAAAGATGGAATAGAAAACAGAACGTGAGGGAGGAAAAAAAAAACTTCCGAGAATTTTACAAGTTTTAAAAAGGTTTAGTATCATGTGATAGATACGATGATGCAGTACACTAGCCTCACTCTCAAGAAAAGACCTAAAAAAATGCAAGAAAAGTAAATCCGAATTATAGACCCAAAGAAAATGAAAAGAGAAATAACTCACATCCACTATTTAGAAATTCTAACAATCTAAACTAAAGTTGTATGATCCTTTTTTTTCCCCCACCACCAACTAACACACATGCACAGGAGACACAACAATACTAGAGATTGTAGATCATACTAACCAGTCATCACCATGGAACATCATGACCGTTTGAATAAATGATGTCGTGCTAACACCTCTTCTACCCCCACAGCAGATATGCTTTCACATCGAAGAAGATCGCGAAGCTTTGTATCACATTGTATCACCATTGAATTTAACGGATCCTATAGACACATGAAAACCATGGAACTTTTAAATTCCAGTTAACTTATCTAAAATAGAACTGAAATGTTTAGACATCGATGTCCTACAAATAAGGTTTCTTAGAAGAAGAAAAGGCAGCATATAGTAAAAGAGAGATATTATCCAAAACAGAAGTTACATGGTAGAAAATTAATGAAGGAGCCAATATGGAAAGTCTTATGTGGGGAAAGACGCGGATATACACACTCATTACCCACCTCCAACTGTTTTAGCTTTATGTACTCCCAAACACGTTTGGATGCTTCTGTTTGGGTCATTTCTCTCTCAGTAGTCCCCAAAAACTCAGCAAGTCCTTCAGATATTACCACAAGAGATGCAGCAGGTTCAGTATTTTCAGTTGGGGTCTCAACATCCACCTTCACTCGCTTAGCTTGACCAGATTCCTCTGTACACACAATTCACAACATGAAGAAATTTTAACCTTCTCAAAGTCACAGCAGAACAACAACACGATGCCTTACTGTAATTATCACAGAACATACTTGATGGTTGAAGTGGGATGATATGTTTAGCTAGCAGCTTATTCATCTTGAACATATCAGTGCAGTCTGTCTCAAAAACCACACGTAGAGCATCGTCACAAATTATCTTCCTCTTGTTACTCGGATCCTGGAGGTTGTTTTTCCTTATGTATTGCCACAATTGCTTCACAATCTGCACACAAAGCACAATTCTTAGAAACAACAACGAATTACTTCATAAACAGCATTAGTTACAAAACCCAAACTAAGAAATGAGCCCAATACAGAAGCAGCAGCAGTAGCAACAATAACAACATACCTCAGTCCTTGGCAAGGCTGGCTCACCAACAATAGCCTGAAGTTCAGGTGAAACACCGCAAACTTTGTTTAACCCACCAGGTCCACCTCTTCTTTTAGATCCAACTGGAGTTGTGCTGCAAAATTATAAAAAGCAAACACCATTAAATCTATTCTCCCATAAAGGACAACCCAGCTAACAACACCCGTCATGAACTTGCTCACTAATCATCAGCTAAAAATACCAAAAAATAGAGACTTCCATGCTAATCATAAGTTAACAAATGCCCAAATTTTGGATTTTTCTATTTGGTGACGAATTAATAATAAACGTCCAATTGGATCACTGTTTTAACCAAAAAACAAAAAAAAGAATTGACAGTTATTAATATATTTTTTTAACTCTTTCTGTCTTTTAGTAACTAAAAAGACACAAACTTTATCATAAAATCTTATCAATATGGAAATTATGAACCCTATAAACTAATCACTTACTGCTCTAATTTTTCACACAAAAATCCCCTAAATTTGCAGCAAGTAAAATACAAAAATTAAACGCTCAAAACCTCAAATTAAGAGCCCTGAAGAAACCCTAAAATCTACGAAATGACAAAAAACCCTAAACTTTTACCTTTCTTTCGCCACTTCATGAGGAATAACCCCAACATTTTGCACATGCTGTGTCTGCCTATGTTGCTGCTGCTGAACTTGCAGCTGAGGTGGCGGCGCTGGGGGAGCCACCACAGCTTGCGGCTGCCTAAAGTTAAGGTCCTGTGGAAAAACCTGGTGCTGTTGGTGTTGTTGAGGATGATGCTGGTGGTGTTGGTGAGGGTGAAGAGCAAAATGAGAAGGGTGATATTGTTGTTGTTGAAACTGGAGGGTAAAATGGTCTTTTGGGGGTAAATTAAGAGTTTGCCCTTGTTGGAATTGGAAAGCTTGCTGTTGCGGTGGTGGTGGTTGCAGTTGTTGCAGTGGTGGATGCGCTGTGGTGGTTACGGCGGCGGGAGCGGTAGTGGTGGTGGCTGTGGTGGTCATAGGGTGGGAGCGGAGGAGGAGGTTAATTTGGTCACGAATAAAAGCTGCTTTGTGTGATAAATCTAACCCTAATTTAGCTTCAAGTTGCTGTACGACACCGTTTAATGAAGTAACGGCGCTTGGGTCTGATTGCCGCAGCACCGTCTCTACTCCTTTCGCTATATCCTGGTCCGTCACCATGGCTTGGCTGTCTCTCTCTCTTCACATATATTTTAACGGAAAAAACGGACACAAACGGTAACTCTCTCTCTCTAAAAAGCTCTATCTTCCCCCTCTAAAACTTCTTCTCTCTTTCTCTCCCTAGAAAACTTCTCTATGTTTCTCTCTCTCTCTCTACTTTCTCTCTATCTCTCTCTTTATAATTTTCATAAAGACGGAAATGACCTCCCACCCTCTTCACTTGAAAAGACGGTTTGCCCTAGGTTAACTGCTGGGAGAGATGGTGGGGTGATGAGGGTGGAATGGGTATTTGAAGAAGTTTTCTCTTTCTTAAAGTGCTATTCTGCCATTTTGGGTATTTGGAATGACGATTTTGGGCCTGGAGTTTGTGGGTTGTAGTGGAGAGGAGGCAGGGGTGGGGAGGTAAATTGGGGAGATTTGCTGGTGGGATTTTTATTTTATTTTGAAATTTAAAAGTTAAAAAGATAAGACTAGAGAGAGAGTGAGTGGATAAAGATGTGATTAAATTTAAAAAGGGAAATGGAAAGATAAAGTAGGTTTTAATTTTTAATCATTAATTTTTTTTTAAAGAAAGTTATTTATGGGTATTATTATGTTGATTGCATTTTCTTTAATTTTTAATTAATTTGATGTTTGGATAAGGTTGTAATAATTTTATATATTGGTTAATTTTTTTGAATCTAAATATTTCTATTTTTTATGCTCTCAAAATATTTGTATAGACAAAAACCTCTCGGTGGAGTAATAATTATTATTTTTTTATTTTTATGAAAAATTGAAATCTACAAACAAAATGACGTTTTTGAAAAATTAGAGCTATTTTAGATGATGTGACACCATATTTATTATGTTTTTTAAAATTTTTGTGAAAATCAAATAAGAAAAATAAACTAAAAATGATAATTTGTTGAAAAACAAACTAGGGTATATTGGTCATTGGAATTGGAGTTTGTAATTACAGTAACAGATAGTTTGATAAGAAATTAGTAGGGTTGGTCAACAAGATGAGAATGTTGGTAAAGACTAAAGAGCACCAAACTAGAGCTTTCTTGATCCAAGAGAGCTAACCCTAGCTACTAAAGGAATACCTTCTCTTGCAGCAACATTACTTTTTTTTTCTTTTTTTTAAGGAATAAGAAAGGATTAAACCTAGAAATAACCTTATTAATCTAATGGCCAATAATTAATGTTAAAAAGGGGAAAGAAAATCAGAGAATTGACCTGAGTTGTGATGTTTGTGTCACAATCATATCTTTGTGATTAATATAAGGAATTAGGTAGAGTAAATTACAAATTAATCTCTCTTGTTTTAGAAAATAATTATTTAGTCCTCCTATTTTGAAATCTACTTCTAGTTTAGGTTTTTTAGTTCTTTTTATTTATTTTGACTTTTTTTTAAGAAACAGAAAAAAAGAAAGAAATTTATAGAAAGATTAACAACAAAATAAGAGATTTTATGAAATAAAAATAATATCAAATTAAGTATGATAACTCTGATTAAATATTTAAATAATAGTGTTTGAAACAAAGAGGACTAATGAATTTGTTTATTAAAACTTAAAGGACTAATTTATAATTTACTCGAATTAGGTTACATAAAAAATGTGGAAGTTGTCTAGATGTGATGAAAAGGCTGGATATTAGAAACATAAATGGACAAAGGGAGGATTTGAGTTCTGTTTATGGGATTTGAATATTTGTTAATTTTCCAGACAAGACAAACATAAGAGGAAGAAAAGAAGGAAAAAAAAAAGGGTATGCAATGATGTGGACTCTATTATCCTTTTTTCCTTCCTATTGGCTTAATTTTTTGCAAACCCTATTTGGAGTCCATATTGTATGGATCTTTCTTCCTCGTCTTTCCTTTTTATTTTCTCTTTTTCTTTATATATTATTAGAAAATTTATCCACTACACAAAAAAAATTAAAATTAAAATCATCGTGTATTCTTATACAATAAGTAAAATTTTCAATATGTTTCTAAATCAAAAAATGCTTAAAATTGGTCATTATTATTTGAATTGATTTTTAATCTATCATTCTAGTCAAATTTTCTAATCAATTCATGGTGAGTGTGTATCAACTTTGTCAAATCACATATTATATATAAATCAAATGTTTAAATTGATCGAAAGTTTTAATTAAAATAATAAATTATAAACCAACTCAAATAATATGAATAGATTGAAAACGTCTTTTAGCTTAATAACAGATTGAAAATTTAACTTATTATATGAAGATATATGAGGATATTAACACTAAAATTAAAACAAGTGAAAAATCGTGTGTTATAAAACCAAAATATGTCCTTTTCTTTCATTGATGGGTCAAGAAATCATACATTATGGTTATGGTTATCTCAAAGGATGCTATTTTATCGTGTCAACATAGGAAATGCATTGAAAAATAGCATGAGAAATATGATCTCAAAAGTAAATATATTATGTTAACGAGTTGAATTTCAGCTGACATAAGTAAAACAAGATAATGGAAAGTGAGTCAAATAAATCAACTCTAAATCAAATTATTAAATCGATCGATAATTGCTGATTTTTGAGTTATTTACTCATACGATAAGTGAATTTGATATTTATATTATCATATCGAATTTAAATTTTAAATTTTAATCGAATATGTGATTCTAAAGTTGTTCTTGAAATATATATATATATATATCTGTGAATCATTTTCTAAAAACCAATCGAATATGTGATCCTAAAGATGTTCTTGAAAATAAAAAAATATATATTGATCTAAAGAAATTCAAATTAGCTTAAAGCCCAAACTTAGATTTAAGTCCCAACTATTTGTTTTCTTAAAAGAAGCCCCCAACAAACTACTAATGGGCTTAAAAATTTATAGCCTAAAAACACCCAAGCCCAGTTCTCTTCAACCCCGTCCCCTACACGTCTCTCAAGCTGTAAGCAGAAGGGTAACACACCACCACCATGGCGCAAGTTCTTAACATAAACCCCCTGCATTCCTCAACCCGACCCGAATCAAACGGTACCCGATTCCTCAACTCGAGCCACAAGCAAGATGGGAAGCAAAGCTGGGCGAATTTGCAGCAAGAACTCAAGTGTAATGGCAAGTTTACTTGTCTTTTCTCAAGCAGTGGCAGAGAGGTACCAAAACAAAGTTTGCTCCTTTATGCTTTATTTTATCACTTTTTGAGAAAATTGTTTCTGGGTTTTGTCTGTTTGGATGTAAATGAATAAAAGTTTTACCAGCTAGTGATAAAGATTGAAGCTCTGTTGTTGTTTTTTTTTTTTTTTTTGGATTGGAAATGAAGCACCCGTGTTTGGATTTTGGGGTGATTGAAAGTTATGATTTTGAATGGTGGATGTGGATTGTGATAAGGAGGTTTAAGTGGGTTTTTGACTTGTCTGCTTAATTGGGAACGATGTTTACTAGGTAGTGTGCTTGTTAAGTTGTAGTGTTTATGAAGTATTTTTATTGAGTTGGAATGGAATGATGGTTGTTTGTTTGAATGGGATATAGTTTATGTTAGAAGTTCAGAATATTCTGTTTACTGATTAAGCTATAGTTATTGTAAAGAATTTCGAAGCGACAGTATGGTGTTAAAATGATCTTTCAAGTGTTAATTATTAGCTTAATCATTGTGTGGTCGTTTCCTAGTTATGACTGATTGAGTTCCGACAATCTGAAACATTTAAGATGGTTAGAATGTGAAGTCTTTATATTGAATTGCTCTGCCAACTAGAATTGTCATTATCATTTTAGGGGCTTTAGACTTCTTGACCAACTAGTAGGATAATTTGTAATATATTTGAGGTTTTCAATAGGCCTTTTTTTTTTTTTTATTCAGCAAATGTGGCTAGTTGAATAGCTTACTCTGCGATTCAAGCTGAGGTTTCTTGTTTAACTCTAGATGCCAAGGCAATTCAAACCATTATACTACATTACCAGTCCTCTTCCTTTATTCCCCCATTTGAAGATGGTTTTGATCAATGAATTGAACCTTCTGCATCAACAAATCTGTGATATCTTGGTGTCTTGGAACTTTAAATTCATGATGGGTCCTTTTGGCTTTACTTGTATGAAAGGGGAAGCCTGGTGCAAGAGGCTTCTGCTTTGTATTTCTGGTTCTGTGAAAGTACCACATTTTTTTGTGCACTGGCTTGTACAGTGTCCATTAATCTTAGTAATCGCCTGTCATATCAAACTGATGGCCATAAAAGGTCTAGACGGTGGAAACATAGCTAATCAAAATGGTTGGAAATGACTTTCTTAGAGTTTGATAAAAAACAGTAATATATACAAGGGAGTGCTGTAATCTAACTATTTAGAGGCTTTCCACTCTATTCCTTTGGCATGCCTTTGGATGTTGTTGAACTGTGTATTTGTTATGCTATATAGTGTCCTGTGGTAGGGTGGGATGGAAAGAATGAGAGAACTCAAGATCAAATGTATTTATAGGCATAATTTAGTTTTGTCTTATTTGTGGCTGCAGGAACAAGCTAGGAAAGCTTTAGAAAGTGCTCTTGGTGGAAAGAAAGATGAATTTGAGAAATGGAACAAGGAAATTAAGAAGAGGGAGGAAGCTGGTGGAGGGGGAGATTCTGGTGGGGGAGGTTGGTTTGGATGGGGTGGACGATTTGGCTGGTCCAATGGTGACAATTTTTGGCCAGAAGCTCAGCAAACAAGTCTTGCTATCCTGGGAATTATTGCCATGGTAAGGTTTTTGCTTCTCAACTCTTTCAGTTTTTTGCAATGTTGTTGTGTGTAATTACTGGCTGCTTTCCTATTTCCTATGATGTTATTTTACATGTACAGTATCTCATAGTTGCAAAAGGCGACTTGATCCTTGCCGTCATCTTCAATCCTTTGCTATATTCTCTACGAGGGACAAGAAATGGGCTAACTTTGATATCATCAAAAATCTTGAGAATAGTATCTCCAGATGGCCCTTCTGATTTTTCTGGTGCATTAAAGAATGATGTAAATGTTGAAGTCTCAGCTAAAGAGAGTGTTAAGAGAAAATGGGGAAGCAATTGATAAGCTGTCTCAGGTTTAAGCATTACTTCATCCCTCCACTTGATGCTGGTGTGGCATCTATAATTGTATTGGGCGATTGAATTGCAGATTCTTGAGAATGCATCATTAAATTGTGAAGATTACTGAGCCTGAAATGCTTAGTGTTTAAATATTCAATCTGTGGCATTTTGTACTTGAAACTAATCTTCATCTTCTCCCTGTGACATCATGAGCAAGGAGCATTTGAATATCAAATTGAAAGAGAATTTGCATATTTTGTCAGTAACATTCAAGTCTACTTTTCCATGATATGTATATCATCTATCATCTATAGGTTATCCATTAATGCAGCCATAAATGCAGTGGTTTGATCTCCTGAAGGAAACAATTATGAATTTTCTTGGAGCTGAGGACCAGGTTAGGTAAATGGCGAATTTTGCCATCATTTAAGTTAGATATTTGCCTTCCTGGTGTTGTAATTTTTTACTGATACACTACACAATGATTCAAGCACATCTCTATCAAGTATCAACCACCGGAGTATTCCTGGAGCTAGAGTTTGTGGTAAAAAAGAGAGTGAAAACTAGTTTTTTGTTTCATTATTTCATCAGCAGAAGGGATAAGGTAGTTCAAAACTGTCAAGAATTCCATGTAGTTGGTAAAAAGTTTTTTTAACTGTGGGGAATGCGTTTGTTGAGAAAACATGCTATAGGACTCCCTTTATCCTTTTATTTTCCTTGATTTTGAAATTCTGAACCTTGAGGGCATCAAAATTTATTACATTCCTTCATTAATAAGGCTAAAAGGGCCAAAGTTTTTCTGAATTTTAGTCTATTTCAAAATAGTTGCTGAAAATTTAACTTATGTTTTGATTTTTTAGAACTTTATTTTTTTTCTTTCTAGATGTAGTTCATTTTTTCAGTTTTTTTTTTATTTATCTCCAAAAAAGTGACAATTACATAAATAGTCTTATAATAGAAATCATTCAATGAAATTTATATGGAGCTTTTCAAAAAATTTAGAATCATTATTGTTTTATTTTCTATATTTATAATATTCAATAAATAAATATAATTTTTATTTTGAAAAATTTTGGATTTTTTTTCAAAAATAGATTGAATTTTTTTCAATGTGTATGTAAAACTTCATATCAAAATGCTAAAAATTGAAATTTTTAAAAGGGATGGATAATAGCTAAAAATTATAGGATGTACTAAATTTTAAAATAAAAATAAAGTTTAAAAAAGTTCAAGTGAAAATCAAAAGTTTAGGGACCGATTTTTAATAAATTAAAACTTCGAGGAGGTTTTTGGCTCTTTTAGCCTAATGAATACACAAAAGAATGTGCATTTTACACAATGGTCCTCGTAGAATTCAATTAGTGGTTTCAATTATGAGTGGGGCATAAAGGCTAAAAAAGTAAAACAACACATTGCAGAGATTCTCGGAATATTATTTACTTTTGACGTCATGATTCCTTCAGCGTGCTGTTTACTTTTGCTTTTTGCCTTCTTTTTTTGACCTTTTCATTATTTAAACAACGTCTAGCGTTCTCTTTTGGTATTTAATCTTTAAAGTGGCAAAAGAAATATTCCATAAAGTATACTCTGTCGGTCTTATCAGCACCTCGAGACTTTTACATTTTCATAGTCTAAAAAATTATTAATCATTTCTTTTTAAGGATGAAAATGTTTTCAAATTAGTTTTTACGTTTTTTTTAAGATTAATCCATTATTGAATGTGACAAAAAAACATTTTTCAATATATTTATATTATATATTTTGAAAATAAATTCTTATGAGTGTTAGTCATAAAAATTAAATTCTAGACTTGATATATACCTTGACGCTTCCTTATCGCGGACTATCACCTTGTAGTTATTATTAATTATTTTATTCATATTTTTTAAAATATTTTCTTAAAATTATTAATTATTAAATTTAATCATGCATTACATTAAATCAATATTAATTTTTAAAAAATCTATCTACAAATGAGGTGATAAATTAAAAAATTATTAAATTAAATAACAATCAAATTTAAAATAATTATGAAAAATAACATATTAATAAAAATATTTTGCTTCTAAAATTTGGCATGCAGTACAGTTTTTATAAGAATAAATATTTTTCGGGTGACAAAAAAATGTATCTTTAAAATTTTTATATTAAAGATATTTATATGTACAAAAAAATATTAATTTTTTATTAGTAGAGAACCAAAAATGAAAATAAATAAATAAATATTGTCTATCAATTATATATATATATATATTATTAGTTTTTTCGGATATCTTTATCTTACATTATAAATATGATTTATCATGTTTGGAGCAAAAACGAAAAAATTCAATACTTTTTAATAAATATGATTTTAAAATTCAAATATTGTACATTAATAAAAAATTTATGCAAAGACTAGCTCATTTATTACTAGACCATCATCTTTTATATATATATATATATATATATATATATATATAATTTGAATAAATTATAAATTAGTCTCTTTGGCTTTAAGAAATAAATTAATTAATCCCCTCATCCATGTATTATTTTAAATATTGATCAAATAAATATTTTCATACATATATAATAAAAAAAATAATTTATATGGGATAGCGGAAGTATATATATACACGAAATATACGGATGGCTTTTAGTCAAACATATAGTCTGCTCTCTGTTGTTACCTCACCCACTTCACCCACCAATCACCGTACCCAGCCGCACTTTCTCCTCCACTCAGCCCCTTCTCTCCACCATACCCAGCGAACCTTCTTCCTCCACTCAACCTTTTCTCTCCGTCTTGCCCAACCATTCTTACCTTTCTTGCCAATTGCCCAAATTTCTACACCAGTTACTTATAACATGCCATCTTTGAAAATCAATTGGCACCAAGAGAAATAATTCGTAATTGAAGGTTATAGGTTCCATTTCTTGCTTTCATTTTATTCCATTAGAAGATCTATTGAGATTATATTCAAAGGTAATTTTCTTCTTCTTTCTATTTCGTTTTATTCTTTTTCCCTCTTCTGATCTGATTTTATGGATTTAGTCTAATCTTATAATCTACACTCAATCCTGACACTTGATGCTCAGATTCACATGAGAAGAAGAAAGAAAAAGAAAACAGTTTCAATACTTGCCAAATTTTGTGTCATTTGGTATGGTAGGCGTTGGAAAGATAATTAGGTGATTTAACTGGTTTGAAGTATCTCCTTGAAAAGAAAAAATTCAAAATTGTTGATGGAAATATAAAAGCCAGTAATATTATGCTTGATACAAATCTTATTGCCACAATATCAGACTTTGGATTGGCAAAAGTTTGTAACGAGGATGATGCATCTCTGACCCGCGAAGCAAAAGGGTTGTGGTAAGCATCGTAATCATTAAATTATTAGCTGATTCTAATCTTTGTAAAATTGCCTGTGCATGGATTTCAATTTATCAATTTTCATTAAGAAAATTTCATTATTTTGATTAGGATTAAACCATATTTCTAATCGCAGAGTTTACATGGCACCTGAGTATGCAATGGGAAAAGCAATAACAATTAAAGCTGACGTCTTCAGTTTTGGAGTTATTGCACTCGAAAAAACTGGTGCAGAATATAACCAAATCAAGAAACTGATTTTCTTCTAGATAATGTGAGTGAATTTGACAAGATTATGCCCTTTCCAAATATGTTCTGTCAACGTTAGATGAGTGAATTATGCCATATGATTAGAGCTAATGCTGCTTTGTAATTGCAGGCTGGTGTTTTGTATGAAAAGGGAATGATTCTTGACTTGGTTGATTGGAAATTATCATCCACTTACGTCCGGAAGCAGGCCCTCATTGTTTTGCACTTAGCAATTAAGTGTGTTAATCAGTCTACTACTCTCAAGCCTAAAATGTCTGAAGTCGTCAGTGTACCTATAGATGAGAAAAGCATTCAACACGTCTCCTACTCTCAGGTCTAAAATGTATGATGTCACCAATGTACCTATAGATGAGAAAAGCATTCAATACATCTCCTACTTTCAGGTCTAAAATGCCGGATGTCACTAATGTATTTATAGATGAGAAAAGCATTCATCAAGTCTCCTACTCCTAGCTTAAAATGTCTGAAGTCATCAGTGCACTTATAGATGAAAAAAGCATTCAACAAGTCTCCTACTCCCAGGCCTAAAATGTCTGAAGTTGTCAATCTACTTATACACAAGAAAAGCATTCAACAAGTCTCCTGCTCTCAGGTCTACAATGTCTGAAGTTGTCAATGTATGTATAGATGAGAAAAGCATTCAACAGAAAGGCAGATTTCCCGAAGGCATACTCCCTCGAAAAATGTTGGAGTTTTTGTGATGTATGTTCCAGATGTTAGAAATAAGGCCAACTCTTTGGCCAAGTAGAAATCATTCTTGGACTAGGTTTATTGGTAATGTTAGTTTTGGTTCGGAAAACCTTATGCTGTTTGTAAGGAAAATTAATACTCTATAATATGGGTGGTGGGTCTCAATGTGTGTGGGGGTGGCAACTGGCAAGAGACCGATGTGTGTTTGCATTTTGTACTTGAAACTAATCTTCATCTTCTCCTCGTAACAGCATGATCAAGGAGTATTTGAACATTAAATTGAAGGAGAATTTTGCATCTTTTTTCGGTAACATTCAAGTCTACTTTCCTATGATATGCATCATTTATCATCTATAGATAATTCATTAATTCTGCTATTGATGTCAAATTTATATTAGACAAATTGGATTGAAGAAGTCTGCAGAAGAGGATCCAACAAACCACAAGGCAAGGTAGAGCAAAAGCCATCTAGATGCTCTGAATTTAGATTCTCTTCATTTGAACTGCATGGTTTTCCATCTCCCAATTTAGTTACTTAGCCATACTTGCCTGGATTGCTTGAGTAATCAAATAATATGGGGATTGAAGGAGGGATTTGAAAGGTGAATCACTCATTTCCAGTTTGCTGTACCTACAACCCATAAACGCAGCCAGAGATGACTCTGATCTTATGGCATAATTCACTCATCTAATGATGACCAGGTTAGGTAGATGACAAATTATGACTTCTGCCTTACTGGGTTGCAATTTGTTTCTTAAACCACATAATGATTCATGTACATCTCTATCAGCCACAGAAGCATTCTAGGAGCTAGAGTTTCTAGCGAAAAAGAGGGTGAAAACTAGTTATTTCATCAGCAAAAAGGTTAAGGTCCAAGCAAATAGTTCAAAATTGTCAAGGATTCCGTGTAGTTGTCGAAAAAAGTTCCAACTGTGGGAAATGCATTTGTTGACAAAACCTGCTATGGAACTTCTTCCTTTATTCTTTTCTTTTCTTTTCTTTTCCTCAATTTTGAAACTCTGAACCTTCAGGGCATCAGAATTTATTACATTGGTTAGTCAATACACTGCAGAATGTACATTTTACACAATGGTCCTTCTAGAATTCATTTGGTGGCCTGAATTATGAGTGGGACACAAAGACTAAAAGAAAAAAATTAGGAAGAATACAATGCAGAAATTCTCCTTGCTGCATCGTTGAATCCATGAAACACTGTTTGTTCATGATATCATAATTAATCAACCTACATGATTTTGAATTTATCCTACATGCACTAAGCTTAATCATTCTGTGGGTCCTTTTATAATTTTAAAATATAGTAAAATTATAAATTAGTCCCTCTAGTTTTGATAACTGAATTGATTAGTCCTTCTATTTTAAAAACTAATTATTTAGTTTTTTCTATCCATTTTATGTTTCTTTTTAATATTTTTTTTAAATAAATAGATATCATGGAAAGATTCATTAAAAAAAACATTTTATAGAATAAAATAATATTATATGTTTGTTCTAATATAAAATCATTCTCGTGGAATTTGTTTTTTAATTTTTAATTTTTATTTTTTGCTATAGATACGGATCTTGTGGTCCATTCAGTTATTAAACGTTATATAATTAGTATTAATAGTTAGTAGTTAGCAAGACATGAGAAGAGATCTTATTACCACGGCGAACTAAATTGGTTGTATAATCGATAAATTTTTTTATATTAACGCTAACTTGTCAACTCAAATATACTTGATTTTTTCTTAATTAGTTTTTCTAACAACTTTCTAATATGATTTTCTTGTGGTTGGAGGTTTACTGTAATGTACGAAAATTTTCGTAAAATGTATAAGGGATAAGTTTTTCTATATTAATGCTAACTTATCAATTCAATATGGTTGAATTAGAAAGTAATCTATCAACAGGAAAAAAATTTCTTAATTAATTTTTTTAACTACTTTCTAATACGATTTTGTTCTAAATTTTATTTAAGTATTTAATTGATTGGATTTTAGGACTTATATGTACACATAATCTATGACAATGGACAAGGACACGAAGGTGGAGATTGAAGAAACCTAAGAACGAAAGTACTAAAAACTGAGAGCTTTTCCAACGTTAAAACACAGGTAGCTAAACCAAACCAATTATAACTATCAGAATCCTAAGCAGCTTTTTTTTCATGTCCCAATCATAGTTTCCATTAGAAAGAGTCAAAGCGTTATCTATCCTCCACCCAATCCTAGGCTGTCTTACTCTCACATCTCTCTCTCTCTCTCACTGTTTTTTTCCCTCCTTGAATCGTGGTCTTCGTGGATCCTAGTGCAGGAGTGACCTTCACGATCTTGCCACCTCTCCTCCTTATTTGCCATTGTTGTTAGTTCAACACAATTTTAGGATCACCACATGACTGTTTCTTTTTCCGTTGTTTGAACTTCCCAAGAACTAAACTTATGCCCTTCTCTCGCTCTCTCTCTCTTGGTTTTGTTAGTGTGTCTTTTTGTTGTTTGAAGGGTTATGTTTTGTGGGTTTTCTTGATTTTGTCTTTTGTTTAACTTTCTAAGATTCTTTGACCTTCTTTCTTTTGTTGGTTTCTGGTTTTGGCTTCTTTTCTGTGTTCATTTGCTTTTGGGTGCACTCTGTTGTGTTCTTGTTTTCCGAGGAAGACACAGACAGAGAGAGACACACAAAATTGCCTGTTACATTTAGTTCTTTTTGTTGCTGTTGATGGGCTGTTGATGTCTTTGGAGGCTGGTGTGGATTCAAATACTAAAAGCATGGGTTTTGATGAGAAAGACAAAGAGGAAGTTTCAGAGACAGCAGCAACAACAAAAACACGTACAAATGAAGAAGAAGTTGATGAGCCTAAAAGTGGTGGGATTAGTAGAAAGATGAGTGAGAATTCTCTTTATGCAACTGATCAAGAAGAAGAGGATGATGATGAAACTCATGAAAGGAAGATTGAGCTGGGTCCTCAATACACGCTTAAAGAACAACTTGAAAAAGATAAGGTTTGTCTTTGTTTATTTTTTCTAAATTTCTTTGTCCTTTCTCATTCTTGTTTCTTTTTGTTAATTACTGTTCCATTTTTTGTTTTATTTATGTTCACTTTTTTCCTGTTTTCTGGGGTTTGAGAATATAGGATGATGAAAGCTTGAGGAGGTGGAAGGAACAGCTTCTTGGGGCTGTGGATATTGAGGCTGTTGGAGGTATTTAGATCAATCTGCTTGAACATTTTGAAAATGTGTTAATTTCTAGTATAGTTTAGTTTTCCTTTGCAATTACTGGTAATTGCGTTATATTTTTGTTTTCTCTTTAATGATTCTCTGTGGATTTACATGTCTCTGCATATTGTCTGCTGTGAAAAGTAACAAAAATTCAGCTGAGAAATCTTAGAAACTACTAAAAGTCAATTTTGTTAATCAGGGTGTTATTTATGGATAATTGTCAAATTTTGGTTTCACTTGTGTCTGATCTCATGTGTTATTTTAGATTGTTAGACCATTCTTTCATCTTCTCCATTTATTCAAGTTTACTATTTCATTGGTTGAATTTGGATAAAATTTCTTCTGTTAGCCTTGAGGATTCTTGGAAGCAATCTAATCAATTAATGGGTGATCAAGTTTGTTTGGATCTCTGACATTGTCTTTATGGTTTTGTAACTATGTAGAGACTCTAGAACCTGAAGTTAAAATCCTGAGCCTTGAAATCAAATCCCCTGGTAGACCTGATATTGTTCTTTCAGTTCCTGAGAATGGGAAGCCTAAAGGCTCATGGTTCACCTTAAAAGAAGGTAGCCGCTATAGTCTGCAGTTCACTTTCGAGGTTAAGAACAACATTGTTTCCGGCCTCAAATATACTAACGCAGTTTGGAAAACTGGCGTCAAGGGTAACAGTCTCTCCATTTATCTCTTCCAGTCCCTCCCTCGTTGTCATTCTTTTTAAATAATGAGTTTCCCTCGTATGATGATTTTTCGTAACAGTTGATAGCTCTAAAGAGATGATCGGAACCTTTAGTCCTCAGCCAGAACCTTATACTCATGAAATGCCTGAAGAAACTACTCCATCTGGTATGTTTGCTAGAGGATCATATTCGGCTAAAACTAAAGTAAGTTCCACCAGTTGTCCTTGTTCTTTAGAACTTCAGTATTTGATATTTTCGTGCAACAGTTGTGGGTTCAAGATATGTTCAACCACCAACCTTTTCTCAATGATACTTGTTAGATTTGAAATGTTAAGGAATCCATAGTTTTTATTTGAAGGTTTTAAAAGGCATTTGCCCGTGAACTATGCACATTTATGTTCAGTCTTTTTCATCTGTTCTGCTTGTGGGGCACCTACATTCAAGAGCATGGATTAAAAGCAAAAATTGCAAAAATTCAAATAATTTCAAACATGCTAACATTAAATCCATTACCATTTAAAGTCCCAAGACTTTAGTTATTCGTTTCAGAACATCCAGCAACGCCTAACTTAATCTGCTTCGAATTGACATGCAGAGTAATGTTCCAATGGATAAGTTTTCAAATCATGTGTCATAAATTATACATGTGTGAATTTAAATCTGCGGGTCATCCTATGTTGAGACATTAAATTTCACATATAATTATTAGATTCATCAAGAATTTTTGTTTGCACAAGCTGCTACTGATTTCCTTTATATTCTTCTTTCTATGTCTCCAGTTCGTTGATGACGATAACAAGTGCTACTTGGAGATCAACTACACCTTTGACATCCGTAGGGACTGGCTGCCAATCAAAAACTGAGAGTTTCTTTTTACCTTCAAGTTGCAGCTTCCATATAATTGTTTTACAACTTGGAATATGCTTTTGATGTTTAACATGTCTTCTTTTTATTGTCTTATTTATGACTCCTATTTGAGACTGGTCATTTGAACAATGAAGAGAGGATTTTTAAAAAATTGCAACTAGATATTCATTTTCGTAATTGTTGGTTAATAAAATTCACTATTAGTTTAAATTGAGCACCTCCTTTGTGTCTCTGGGATCATCATTCCATTAAGGCATACTTTTTCTTTTTCGGTTGTTGCTTTTGCTTTCAAAGTTGGCCAAACTTTTTACTTTGACTGTTTTTTCTGTTCTGTTCTTTTCATTGGAATTCTTTTGCAACGGTTACATTTTGCACATTTAACTCTCACTCTAGTTTTAGAACTAGCATGTTTTAAATGGATGTCTTGTGGGGGTAAATGGCTAACCTTTTTAGAGACAATGTTTGGTGGGACTAGGAACCTTTAATCATGGTGGAAGTGAGAAAACAGCAATTGCCTGAACTGTGATTGAGAAAGAGTTACTGTTAGTAGAAAAGAATGTCAGCTGCGATTCAAAACATTTTTCGTTGCATTATGATCAAAGCCATGCAACCCCCTTTTCCATTAGAAAATTCTAAATATTTGGATCCTATAGCAATGCATCTTTAACCAGTATGATGAGAATAATGATATGATTTAAGTTGGCACAGCAACTGTAATTTTGCAGTGGCATTTAATACTGTTTTTGTGTGAACACCATGACGGAATCTACGCTTTAAATTAGATGCCTTATGAGAAATCATCATATATCGTGTCCGTTGGTTTCTTTGAAAATGAAAATTCAATCGGTGATGATGGTGGTTGTTGCCGTCTTATAGTGCTTAGATGTGACTGAACCGACAAGAAAGACTATTGGCATACGAAAGTTTAATCAACAAATTATACGCGTAGAGAGTCCAGAAGTGGAGTCACTGTTTGGCTGTTTCGACAGGGAATTCTTCTTTTCAAGTTTGATTTTTGGAAGGTTAGCATCCACTTGATGATGTTATTGATGGAGGCTTGATTCCTGATATTTACATGTACCGACTTGTAGAAAAATGTGGAGTAGGCATCATCACACTTTTGAATGGCTATGATCAGTAACTTTCAGAATCAAATCATGCTCCATATTAGCACACTATCTGGGCCATATATAAACTCAATATCAGTTGGCTCTCTTGTATTGAATCAAACACTGGCAGCTGATTTATAGTTTTCTTTCACAAGAAAGTAGAAAATGGAAGTTCAAATCATCTCTAAAGAAATCCTGAAACCTTCTTCTTCCACGCCGCACCACCTTAGAAACTATAAGCTTTCTGTCCTTGATCAGTTAGCTCCACCTATTTACATCCCCATCATTCTCTTTTACTCACCATCCAGTGAATATTTCTGCGAGAAATCTGATCATCTGAAAAAGTCCTTCTCTAAGACATTAACCCACTTCTACCCTTTTGCCGGACAAATAAAAGACGATTTTTCTATCGACTGCAACGATGATGGTGCTGCGTTCATTGAAGCCCGTGTAGATGCAGGTGACATATCCATGGTGCTTGAGCAAGCAGACATAAATCAGCTGCAACAGCTGCTACCATTCAGCCCTTATGGAAAGTCATCTAAGCGAAGCACTGATCAGGTCATGCTAGCAGCTCAAGTCAATTACTTCAACTGTGGTGGGTTGGCCATTAGTATTTGCATTTGGCATGCAGTTGCTGATGCATCAACTCTAGCAACCTTTGCTAATAGCTGGGCTGCAATTAGTTCTGGTTCCAATAACATTAGCAACGAGGTGATTTTTGACGGCACGACACTCTTCCCTCCACAAGATTTATCAAGCTTCTCTTTGCACAATTTCGTAAAAGAGGATGAGTTAAGGGAAATTGTGATGAGAAGGTTCTTGTTTGATGGTTCCAAGGTAGCTGCTCTAAGAGCTGAAGTAGGCAATGGACAATATTTGGATCGACCGACTCGTTTTGAGGCTGTTTCAGCTCTCATTTTGGGGGCTATGATGGCTATAACCGGAGAAAACGAAGCTACCAGGATAAATACTGCAACGGTTGCAGTCGATTTGCGGAGGAGAATGAAACCGCAACTGCCACAGCAATCTATTGGAAACTTCTGCCAAGTGACAATAGCAAATTGGCCAGAGAGTGAAAGTAACGTGCTAAACTATAATCGTTTAGCAGGAAAACTTCATGAGTCAATAACGAAGATGAACAACGACTATATTAGGAAGCTTCATGCTGGTGGTGGGTACTTTAACTTCCTCCAAAAAGCTGGCGAGGAAGCTAGAAAAGGTCCTAACTTGAGGGTATTTGGTTTCAGTAGTTGGTGTAAGTTCCCATTTTATGAAGCTGATTTTGGGTGGGGAAAGCCTATTTGGTCAAGTCCTGTGTTGAAGCTTAACAGGGTTGCCATTTTCTTAGATACAAAAGATGGCAAGGGAATAGACGCATGGATTGGACTGTCCAAGGAAGACATGATAAAGTTTGAAAAAAACCCTAGCATCCTTACTTATGCTTCTTTCAGTCCAAGCATGTAAGCTTCACGTCTTCCAAGAAGGTAATGTCGGGTGGTTCTGTCGAAAATGCAAACCCCTAATGTGTTAGGTTACGTAGTAGAATTGGTTGCTTCAATTTATATGCTCTAAGTCACTTCACTGTATTCAATATAAAAGAAAAGTCTTACTTTACTTTTACTCTATATATTAACTCACGTTTATTCTATTAACTCTAAAATAAGTGACCTATAACCACAATACGATAGTTTACCGGTAAGTAAACATCGGATTATAGATCAAGTTTAAAATTCAATCTTTATAGTTAATATTTTCGAGAATTTGTTTTCAAAATACTTGAAAATGTATATTAAGAAATACTTCTTAATTATGTTTAGGAGAAGATTAATCTAAAAATATAGAAAAGTTGATCAAGAAATACTTTTACTGCTAAACCTGAAAAAGAAAAAATGTGACCTATGATATGAATAATAACTTTCTAGTAATTTTTTCTTTTTATTGCATATATTATGTATAAGTAGACTAATCATGTATTTGGCATAACAAAAGTTTAGAGGAACTTCACCGCACTTATAATAAATATTTGTTTCGAGTCAATATACATTGACACAAAGTGTTGTCCATACCTTGCGAGGCCGAATTTTGAAGCTTAATTTGGGTTGAATTATTTTAGCTTATTTATTTTTATTATGTTTTGTTTTTCAGTGTTTTATTTTCTTTTATTTTTACAATGTTTCCTATTTTTGTTTGGAATTTATTTTAGTCTTTATTTGTCGTGGGGTTTGGACAGAATATGCCATTGTCCGTTTGTGTGCTATAAATAGCTGATTTTTATGTCTTTATATTTAAGCATTCTTATGTAGTTTAGAAAAAAAACAATTGCCGGAACTGTCATTGAGAAAGAGTTACTGTTAGTAGAAAAGAATTTCAGTTTCGATTCAAAAAATTCTTCGTTGCATTAAGATCAAAGCCATGCAGCTCCTAGAATAATGCTAGAGGAATGCATCTTTAACCAGCATGAAGAGAATAATACTATGATTTAAGCTGGCACAGCAACTGTGATTTTGCAGTGGCATTTAATACTGGTTTTGTGTGAAAACCATGACGGTATCTATACATTAGATGCCTTATGAGAAATCAGCATATACCGTGTCAGCAGGTTTCTTTGAAAATGAAAATTCAATCGATGATGATGGTGTTTGTTGCGGTCTAATAGTACTTAGATGTGAGTGAACCAACAAGAAAGACTATTGGCATATGAAAGTTTAATCTACAAATTAAACGTGTAAAGAATTCAGAAGTGGAGTCACTGTTTGGCTGTTTCAACATGGAATTCTTCTTTTCAAGAGGATTTTTGGAAGGTTAACATCCACTTGGTGATGTTATTTGTCACCGTCCGACTTTAGATGGGACTTTTGAAAAATTTAATTACAAACTATTTATAAGTTTGTTTGAATCTAGTTTAAAATTTGGTTTGGATTATTTATAATTCACTCTATGAATGAGAGTTATTAATTTTAAAGTAATCACCTAGTATTAAAGAAATTAACAACCTAAAGTCAGCACTAATTCGGATACGAAACTTGGGTGTGTAAGTTAAAAAAAAAAAAAAAGCACCGATTCAAAGATTCTAGAATAAGGAATTAGTTATGCTTTTAGAAAGATATCGATCACCAAAAAACATCATTTCTTAAAAAATATACCATGTCTAGTTTAGTTCAAAAATTTATCTCCTAAAAATTTCTATTTTTGTCAAAAATTAATCCTAATCGAAACTCCAAACTCTTTTCATTATTGTTTCAAATAATTTTATTTTATTTTTGTTTGTAATATCGTATTGAACCAATCGACGAACCTTTTCATCGAGAGACACGTTGATTCAAATATCAAATCCACTTTTGAGTCTCGACACAATTGATAAGTTTGAGAACAACCTAATCACTAAAATACTTTTTTTTTTTTTTTTTGCTAACAACAGTCTCTATAGATAGGAAACTTTGTTAATATTTTTAGGATTTTCTTCTTCTTCTTTTTTCTTTATTTATTTATTTATTTATTTTTTTGTAGAGAACCTTCATCGATCCTTAAAAATTAAGACTTGACTATTATTCACCTATTGATCACCTAATCTAATTACTAAAATAAAAAAAATTCACAATTACATTAATTAAATAAATTAAAGAAAATACAAATATTAAAATCGAAATTAAACATGAAATAAAAAACATACATAAAAATAAATTCAAGATTAAATGAAATAAAACCAAGACTTTTTTTTTATCTCTCTCTCTCTCTCTCTCTCTCTCGGATCAATCGGCCCATTAACCTAGGCCTACTAGATCGGGCATGGCCTCCTTCCTTCACCTTCCCCCTCCTTTTTTTTTTTTTTTTTTATTGAATTGAGCTGGGATCAACCTAACCCAATTTTTTTTTCTCTTTTTCTTCTTGAGGGCTAGACTAGATTAGAATTAATCCAGCCCAAGTTTTTTTTTTTTTTTTTTTACGAGCTAGGTCGATTAATCGACTCAATCCAACCCAAATTTTTATTCTTTCTTCTTTTTTTATGTGCTTGAACTAGGCTGAAATTAGCCCGAGTGTAGCTTGTCATGGTCATTTCGCTCCTTCTTAGTTGGACCTAAAAGTCACTAACACATTCCATTTCTTTTGTTTTTCAATTTCCGGATCAATCTCTCTTTCTTTCTCTCTCTCTCTCTCATGCTATAACCCTCCTCTCTTCTTTTTCTTTTTCTTCCTTTCTCTCTCCCTCCATCTCCATAAAAGAACCAAAAGTTTCGGTTTGTCCCTCCATTAATTCTTCTTCTCCTCCTTCTTCTTTTTCTTTCTCGCTCTTCTTTTTCTCTTCTTTCTTCCTATCCTTTTTCTCTTCTTCGTCTTCCTCTTTTTGTCTCATTCTAGGAAGAACAAACTAGAGTTCATCTTTGGTTCGCTCTCTCTCTCTCTCTCCCATTCATTCTTCCTTCAATCCTTCACTATCTCTATTAATTCATCTCTCTTCTTCTCCTCATTCTCTTTCTTTTTTTCTTTGTCTTCTTTCTCGAAATTGGCTTTGGTTGAAAATCGAAGCTTTCCTCTTTAATTTTCATCATCCTTCCCTCGATAATCCTCGACCTCTTAATTTCTCTTGAAATTAAGGGATCCTAAGTCTTCTAGAACTTAATTTTTTATTGGTTTAGAAAACTCGGGAACCTTAGGTTTTGATCTCGTCTTGATCTAGTCTCCAATTAAGGCTTAAACCCTAAATTAAAACCCCGCCTAACTATAACTAGCCTTTCTTTCAATTTCCCAATCTCAATTTCAAACCGAAAAATGAAACCCCAAACTGGAAACCCTAAATTGATCGTAACTCGAAATTCTCAAAATTTTAATTTCCTCTTCCAATTCAAGCCTTTTATTCAATAAAACAACAACTATATGTGTGTGCGATTGAGAAAGGGAGGAATTTTGAGGATGACAGATCATGAATATCACTACCATCAAATCCCCAAAACAAAGAATTACATTGAAGAGGATAAAGAATGGATTACTTCAAAGAGAATTTGAATTGAGGATAAAGAAAATCCTCCAATAGATTACTATAACTCCAACAAAATTTGATAAAATCTCATCCTTTTTTTGTTTCTTTTCTTAAATTTTTATTTTTGGTTGATCATTGCCCAAATTACAACCTAATCTTTGTGATTTGTTTCTGTTTTCTTTTGATTTCTTTTCCTTCAATTTCTTTTTTCTTTTTTGAATCCTAATTCCTCTATTGCTACTCGTCTCTTTTTCTTTTTCATTTTTTGAATCAATCCCCCTCCCTTTTGTGTTTGTTGTTGTTACCTCTTATATCCGAGATTGTAATTTTTTTAACCGGTATGGTGTAGGGTGGGATGGATTGATAGGGTAGAGAGGCCGTGTTGGATGTAGGATAGTTTTGGGCGCTACAAGTTGCTTGTAAGGGTTAGGACTGTGGAGGCTAATGGTATGGTTATCGAGGTCTGGTTGTGGGCTAATGGATAGGGGTTTTCATTCGGTTATTCAATTCAGTTTTGAAATTTTTTGGATAGTTTTACGTTAATCAAAATTTCAAAAAAAAAAAACCAAAATCTAATTATTATTCGAGTTTTTTATTCAGCTTTTGAAATATATAGATTTCAATGTTTGGTAATTCGATTTTCACTTATAATTATCCGTACTTTTTATTTTTGAAAGGACCATGCATTTTTTAAAAAATAAGTTTGGTACTTGCATTATTACATTGCATAAATATGATTTACGAAACCAAAGGTCCAAACGTCGGTGGCTATCTAGAGTCGGTGGCCATTGTCACTCGACAGTGGCCACTACCACTAGCCATCTAAAGTCGGTGGCCTAGTGGGCAATGGCAGTGGCTTGTGGCCATCCCTATCCGAATCCAATTGGACCAGCCTATATTCCTATACTTTAATAATGAAAAAGCAAGCATGTTAAGCAATAATTCAATTTAAAGTATTCAACAAAATAAAAACAACGAGTTCTAACATTCTCAAATTACCAAGTAAAATCAGTAGTTTAACAAAGTAAAAGTAACAACAACAAGTCAACAATTCAACACTAATAACTCAAAAACTTATCAAGTAAAATAATTCAAAAAACTCCCATAAATAGTCAAGTTCAAGCAAAAGGTTCATCAAATCCTGCAAAGAAAAGGAAAAAAATATCAATTCTATAAAATATAAAGACATTACAAACAAACATAGACACATACAAAGATAATTCATTAGAAACGTACCTATATCACTCAAAAGAGCAAACCTCCATCAATTCATCATATATCTATCATAGGTGCATCCGTTGAAAGTTTTAATAAATCCGAAAAAAAAAATCAACACTTTAATATTAATTAAGGAAAAAAAGATAAATGAAAATATAAGAATTTAAAAACTTATCGACTTCATGTTTCTCGGTGTCTTGCAAATCTTCTTAAGTAGTAATTGACATCGAATTTTGAAGCCAATCTTGAGCACATATAAGAGCTTGCATAA